AACACACTAGGGAGCTTAAAGTCTTTAAAACCCTAATTAAACAAACAAAAAAAGACACACAAAAAGACCCCTCTAGTCTTCCTTGGAAATGAACCTTGTCACAACATCTGGCAAGTCTCATTATCTATTTAGACTTTAATTGCACTGCTAACACATTGAATTGAAAAAGAAAAAGAAAAAAACACACACACCAGACATTTAATATTAGTGAGCAGAACCCCCAAACAAGCAGTCCTCTTGATGTTGTTTGTTTACTGTGGCCCAGGGGCAGCATCACCCTTAAACGGTTTTGAAAAGACTCACCTGGAAACCACCAGTCTTGCTGGCTCAACCACAATTGAGAACCATCAGTCAAAAGAACAGGGAAGGGTGAGAAACAACATCCAGTTTATTTACTAAAGCTCATGCCCTTTGTTTGGAGAGTGAGCGCCTCTCATCTTGATGAGTCTCTTACTTTAAAAGGTAATTAAGAAACCTGGGCTACTGGCTTCTTAGCATATGACACAGCAAAGTGGAAGATGTGGAATGTGGTGTTCAGAAAATTTACATTTTCAGCTGCAAGAAATGTCATATGATAGCTTGACCATTAAGGAAGAGACAGGAAAACTATATAAAAACAGATAGAAATGGTGATAGTTCATTTTATGTGTTAACTTGCTAGGCCACAGTATCCAGATATTTGGGCAAACATTCTTCTAGATTTCAAAAACATTTCTCTAAAGGTATTTTTAGATGAGATGAACATTTTAAGTCAGTAGACTTTGAGGAAAGCAGATTACCCTCCATAATGTGGTGGGCCTCATCCAATCAGTTGAAGGCTTTAATAGAAAAAGTTAGACCTCCTAAGAAGAGGAAATTCTGCCAGCAGACTGCCTTTTTAAAAAATTGAATTTACTGGGGTGACACTGGTTAATAAAATTATATAGGTTTCAGGTATACAATCCTATAATGCAGACAGACTGCCTTTGGGCTTGAACTGTAACTCTTCCCTGGGTCTACCGCCTGCCAGCCTACCCTGCAGATTTTGGACTAGCCAAACCGCCACAACTGCCATAATTGAGTCCTTAAAACAGTGGTTCTCAACCTTGGCTGCACATTACAATCACCTGGGAATCTTTCTAAAATCCTGATTTGTGGGCCTCATCCTCTGGAAATTCTGTTTCTTTGTTACTAATGTTGTGGCCCCATCCCATAACAAAGAAACAGAATTTCCGGAGGATGAGGCCCAAAAATCAGGATTTTAGAAAGATTCCCAGGTGATTCTAATGTGCAGCCAAGGTTGAGAACCACTGCCTTAAAATAAATCTCTGTCTCTTCCTCTCCCCGATTCCTGTCCTCCCTCCTCCCTCCCTCCCTCCTTTTTCTCTGGAAAAACCAAATTTATACAGAAACAAAAAATACAGAGTCATGGGGGGGAGGGGGGCGGGGGTTTCTTTAATCTGAGGCCAATAATCCTAATGGTCTCCCAGTCCTCAGGGCACCATTACATTACAGCTCAGCATAATAACCGCATAACTAATGATGATGGAGTCACTTCTTAAAGTTTCCTTATGTTTAACACATTCTGTTATTTTTACTGTTTATTGATTTTTGAGAGAGAGAGGAAGGGAGAGGGAGAGAGAGAGAAAAACATTGACGTTTCTCAGTTTGGGGCTTTTTAAAAGGATACTGTTTGGCACCCTGAAAACATCGGTTTTAATGAAGCCAGCTAATTAATTCAAGAGAAATCACACAACTGTTTTTCTCCATTTGTAATGGTGCTCAAACATCCTAGCGAATGTGTCAGTCTCTCTGTTGTACTTACAGGGAAGAAAATGGAGCCCTAACGAAAGAACATTAGGGAGATCTGTGGGGAGTTCCAAAGTTCAAGACTCAGAAGGAAAGGAAAGGAAGGCGAATAAAGAAAACATTGAACTCCAGAGAAAACAAATGCAGTTACTTATGGATTTGAGGAAATGCACCATAGATGAATGAAGTCTTTTGAACCTAACTTTCAAAAGCCAACATTCAGAATGCCTCCGACAGAGTTAAAGAGCTGAGATCTGAGTTCTGTTTTGAGGAGCCAAACACTCCCTCTAGCAGCTATGAAACCAAAGTCTCCAGGCATCTCACTTTACTCCTATTAAATTCTCTCCAGAAGTTACTAGAATGTAAAGAATGTCACAGAATATAGATAGCAACTGCCAGCAATAAAGAAACCCTATCATAAAATCCTGTAACCTGCTCTTCAAACCCTTGTAAACCAAAAAGAAGACACTGTGCAGAGAAAGTAATGGGTTTTGTCATTCAAATAACTCCCCTGTTTCAAAGTTCAGAGGCAGTAAGAGCAGGCCAAGCCCTGTGCAGAGAACACTAAACTCAGTCATGCATTCTCCCCTTGACTACCTGTGCCATTCACCTCTGTGCTCAATTTCCTCACTTGAAAGTAGGGATAATAAATAATATGGTTTTCCCTGGGTTGCTGGGAGGAGGCATATTGTAAAGCACTGTATCAGCAGCAGAGGTTTATGGTGAAAGATAGTTAAATCCACTGCATAGTCTAATTGAGAAAACAAGAGAGAGGTTAACACTGTTATGCCCAGATTTCAAGATCCCCAAAAGCCCACCAGGGAGCCAGCCGAGTCCGATGCAAAAGCAAAAGAGTCTTTATTTGAACTAGTTCGGCTCCCTGACCACACTCACCGACGCACGGCAAGCCAAGTGGCAGAGAGAGGGCTAGCCCGGTGGGAAGAGGACTTTTATAGGGGGGTGGAGTAAGGGGAGGAGAGGGGACTGTGGGCCCTGCCGATTGGCCAGGCGCAAGTCGGTGTCTCGTTACACAGGATGTGGTCATATCTATGGCACGCATGTCCCTTGATTATCATTGGTCAGTTTAAAGAAATCCTAGGTGTGGCTAGCAGAGGCTTGGGCTTCTACCGGAAAGGAGCTCTTTGCTGAGCACATGGCTCTGCCCAAAAATGGAGGATTCGGGGCAAGATGGAGGGCGTAGCCCTCGCCCTTTCAAACACCTTCAAGGTTACTGATGACCTTGTCAGAAACCTTCTGTGGAATGTGGATGACTGACCACACTGCTTATAAAGAGGAACTTGATCAAAATGAAGTAAAACAAATGCAAAGCAAAAGATGGGCAGGATGCTGGAGGAAGCCCAGTTCTGAGGTGGTGTCTCCCCTCAATTATTCTGGGTTGAAATCCAAGGAATACTCTGCTTTCCTGTTGCCATCTCCTCCTTAGGTCCACGAGGTTCCTGCCCTGTGTCGCCTCTGGCCCACCTGTATCTTGGCTTTGAGTGAAAATCCAAACCGAGAAATCAGCACTCCCTGACAAGAGTGCCAAGATAAAGAGAGCTCATCTGTGGTATGTCACGGGAAGAAGTTCTACCGAGTAAAGTGCCAACTGGTCTCATACACCCACGGCGACAACCCCGGACAGGCGCAGGCAGATTCGAGGTGGTTTCCCTATCATCCCCTCTATCTACTTTGCTAATACAAAAACGTAGCCAACAATGGAACTCTGTGCGGAAACGTCCCCCATCGTTTCAAACAGTGATTCGGGCTTTCAGCCTCTTTCCTTCTTGTCCAGTGGGGACTGCTTTGGGCATTTTATTGTGATATATATCACTTTAGAAAAGAGTCTTGTGGTTTTGTGGCCACGAACATCACTTCATGTTCGGTGGAATGATTTTGCTTTTGCTTTAAATAATTTGCAAGCCTTTTGTTTTAACCTTGCAGGTCTTTCGTTTTAACAATCTTTTTGGTTGTTTGGGGATGTTTCTAGGGGAAAGAAACTAAACTACTTTTTATTGCTTACCTAGGCTTTTTAAAGAAAAAAAAAAAAAACAGTGATGGAAAACAATGCCAATGATAAAGGACATCTTCAGAATTTTACCTTTCCATTCTGGAACAGTGCAGAAGCTTACAGCAAGTGTGTGTTTATTCCCAGTTCTATACCTGTCAATCATCAGCTTGCCATTGAATTCGTGCATCATCACACATCACAAACAAGTGAAGTACGAGCATTCACAATCCAACCAGGTGCATCCACTTTAAATGGCATCTAGAATTGACTTATCCTTCAGCAATTACAAATGTTTTGTAAGTGCTATTTCCAGATTTGTGAAACTAAATAGAGGATCAACCTTCAGTAGAAGTAACTAGCGGAAAGGATCATAAAATCTTTTAAAATCTCAGAAACAAAATGTGCAACAATTTAGAAATGAGTTTACTTTTGTCAGCCAACTACAACATTATAAACAACAGCTGCATCTGATCCAGAACTTTCCTGTTCTTTGGACTCCAGTCAACAGAAGAATGTAGCGTTATTCTATTATAACTGGTTGGATCATGGACTGTTAGCAATTCCAACTGGTTCATTTGGATTTTTTTTTTTTTTTTAGTTAGGTTCTCAACCATTTCTAATCAATATAATAAATCTACATATAATAATTTAACTACTTGGAAAGTTAAAGTGCATACCAGAAAGGACCATGCCTAGAAAAATATAAACACACTTAAGAAACATGTTTTCAGCTCTGCACCAAAGTAATCTTAAAGCAATAAGGAACAAATTCCTATTAAAACTTCACACATATAACACACAAATATACTTTGCTATTCCTATTTTAAAATATAGTGACTGTAATGTCAGCAAAAACCTGGTGAAACCAGATTTGTACTGGATATT